CGTTGTAAAACATTTGACTGATCACTCTTAGACCCAGACCATAACATCAATACTGGTACAATCCTGTGCTCCTCCTTCTGCACATTCTTCTGAAATACTTTTCTCATTAGTTTTCCTTAATCATGCTCTTTTCTTAAAAAAGAAAGACAAAAAGAAAAAAAAATGATCCTAGGATATGCATGCTAAGCAGATTTTCACCCCAAAACTTAGCCTTAATCTTCTGGAGGCAAATGTCCTTTATAAGCTCACTCCTCTGTGGTTGCCGCTTTTCCTAAACCACAGGCCTTCCTGACTGGCAGCCGGGCCAGGACAGATTACAGTTATGTGGTAGGTTCTGTCGGACGAGCTCTGACAAGGCCTCAAAATAGACCCTGGGCACCAGCCAGAGACACTGCCACTCACAAGTTCCAACTTCATCATCATACATTAGCCCCTCAGTACTTTTTTTTTTTCTCCCCTAGAGTCTCTCATTTTCAAAGGGCAAAAGTTCCTGAACGCCCCTCCTCCTGGTCATGAGTGAGCTGTATAACACAGAAATTAAACTTTTAAACTTTTAATTTGCTCACAAACACTTGCAGAATAAAAACTAACACTGTACCTACCCCCTGCCTTGGGATATTAATCCATCCATAGCACTCTGGTTTGCAAAAGGATTTTGGAATCTCAAACTCTACAGAGGTTTATTTTATTATGAATAGACTAGGATGTGGAAGGTAAAGGAAGACAGAAGGTGGACTATTTATTTTCTGTGACTAATAATATAGTAGCAGACTTCATCAGGGCAAGACGTTAAACTATACACAATATTTTTAATTGATACTGGTCATAAAATCCTAAAACAATCAACCAACTACAAAAGGTATTCATTTAACTATTACCCAATATATAAGTGAAGTGGTTTGTCTATAACACCAATCTTCAAGCCACAGTATTTTCACCCTTACCAGTACAAACAAAATTAACCACCAGTCACTCTAAATGATTAAATTAAGATTGCCTTATAAAATACACTGTAATATTTTTTAAAATGGAGAGGATAGAATACAAAGTAAGCTCCTTTCTCCTACAAGGTTGAGAAAGAAGTTAACTTCTATTATAAAATAAAATCCAATATAAGATTGAAACAAATTTATAAATCTTCACAATTTAAGGTCTAACTTTGCAATCACTCTTTCAGAAATATATTCCATATACATACTTATGGACTAGTGCAAAGATTTATATACTAGTTGTTCACTATAGCAACATTTGTAGAAAGCTAAAAACAACCTAAATGTCTGTTAATAGGGAATGGTAAAACTAATCATGGAAAATGAATAAACTGTGGTTCATCTACACTAGGCAAGACATCCAGTCTTTTTTTAAAAATCAGATGGACACATGTGCTAATACAGAAAAGTCTCTAAGATATATATCAAGGGTAAGAATGAAAGGTAGAAGAAAGTTCTCCTAAACATAGGTGATAATATGTAATAGAAAATTTGGAGAAGAATATACAGGAAACCATTCACAGTAGTTGCTTGGATTAGGGGGTGGGGGAGTGAGAAAAGGCTAGGAGTTTGTTGTGCAAAGGAAGCTTCCTTTGCACCACATAACATCTTCTTTTCAAATGTTTTATCAATTTTTAAAAATCCTACAAACATCTACTGTACCCATGAAGTGGGCATTCTCTTTCCATGTATGTATGCCATGTCTTTTGTCTTCCCAACCATTTTTACTCTTATCTACTGCTCTCCCTACCACTAAACCAAAACAAAAGCATACACATTTAGCAAATCTCAGAGTTCCCCCAAGAAACAGAATCCTTTTCCATCCCCCATCAGAATAAAGAAATAATAGAATAAACGAAAAAGTATAACTTATACTAAACCCTGTTTTTAGCCCCATGTTTGATTCCTTTTAAGTCTGGCCTAATTTCTTGTAGGGCAAAAAGTTTTAAAAGTAAAGTGCAATGTGCAACACAAAAAAATTATTTCCAAAGGTGTCTATCTAGTATCTTAAAAGGAGAAATGGAGAAAAAGGTAAAATTATTCTACTCACAGGGCAAATTCTGCTCAATCCCTTCCCTCTGAAGTTTTAAAAGTTGAGTTTTGAATAACAGTCATAAAGTCTATTAAGTCTATTGCAAACTGGATAAGGTAGTACATTTTCCTGGTTAAAGGTCCATCTCACCATTCAAAGTCTCCAGAAAGAAACTAACTACCTAAAAGGAAAAGGCTATGAAATGGCCTCTATTTTGTAGGTGCAATGGATAGTGCTCTTATGGTAAAGAAAGAATTGTATCTCTCTTAAATGATCCTCATCAACATTCCCAGCATGCTGCCAGAATTTTTTTTTTCTATACATCATCAATTCTGTTCCTTTTCACACTAGGAGCACAGTAAAACAATTCACAAAAAGCTTAGCAAGACACAGCTCTCATTTCTAGCAAAAATATGTTTTTGGTTTGTTTTTAGAAAAAAAGAATCTACTTGCCAAATATACCCTCCTATCACTTTTTTCCTTCATTATGGAGATGCTTAGATCATGACGTAAGAAGGCTTCTCTTGCATATCTACCTATCAAGACTGTTAGTTATGGTGCTTTCCACAAGGGATTTTCCAAAAGGGAATCTCTGTTTACTGGGAACTGAAACTCTTAATTAAGTCACCATTAGCTGGACAAAAATCAAAAGCAACATTAGGGAACACTCTGTATATAAGAATGAATATCCAAGAAAATAAGATGCCAAAATTTAGTCAAATAATTAAAGGAACCTGGTAAGCAAGACCAACTTACCATTACTTTATAGCTGATAACTAACTAAAGTTCCCTACAAATGAAAATCAAGGTAAAATAAGCTGAATTCCAAAAAGAAGTAAAAGAAAACAAGGCTAAGGGTATCAAGTTCTCTGTGATTCAAGGTTATTTTGCTTAACAATATTTTTAAAGCCAAAAATGATCAAATTACATTTCAGCAATAAAAAGTTATTTCTAGTTTACAATGAATTCATTCCAATAATTAATCACAACTTCAATACACACTTTCTTCTATAGCAGAACTTACGTAAGAACTCAGTATAGTCTCATTCCACATTTTTAAGGATTCACAAAATAGGTGAGGCCTTTCACTGAAAAGACTATTTTGTATACTGTAGATTCTTTCGGTAAACTTTTTTATACCTTTTCACTGACATTTATTTTGTTTCTAGACCCCTTCATTTATCTTCCCACATTTGGCAAAAAAAAAAATAGGGAGAGTGGGGGAGGGTAAAATTACAACAATTCACTAGGAACTAACTATTTAAAGCCAAACACTCTGCAAAAGTTCAATTTTTATTTTCTTACCACACTTCATGACAATAAGTAACAAAGCAACAAACCTAACAAAGCATAATACAACACTTCATATAAAATGACTGAAGGCATCTAAACAGGCAGTAACAAACTTCTAGCTTTCCTCTATTCCAATTTTAAGATCCGTATCAATGATTCAGAGTGACCTAACTTTCTAAATGAATCACACTTTCTGAAATTCTTACTCTAACATGAATATAATACTAGATCATCATCTCTATATTTGTTAAAGAGAGCATGATGTTGGTTAAAAAGGGTTAATACTGCAAAACTTCCAAACCACAGCAAACCTCAAGTCTCTGCCAACTAACTCTTATCTGCAACACTGCATTCTCCAACAATTGCACCTGTATATATAGATTCATCCCCATATAAAATGTTATCTTGCAAAAAATGTTATTTTATATTATGAACTCGCCCACCTACTGTTCACCATCTCTCTGGTTCCATTCATTGCATCCACGTTCTCTTCCCATTGTGATAACATAAAAAATTAGTGGCTCCTCAGTTATTCTTACACATTATCTCTTAGTCAATTAACCTACTCTACAGTTTTGCTGTTTACCGCAGAAATGCTGAGTCATTAAATGGAAACTCAAAGAAAACGAGCTATAAACAGTTAAAGTTTAGGATACAATATTTCCCTATATTTCCCTAGCCGTGTCTCAGCAGCCTAATATTTGCATCTCCCACGGTGTAAAAGAGCAAACACTTGAACTTTTTCCGTCTGAGAAAGGAAAAGAGGTGCGTTCCCTTATGTCCGCCTGCTTCCTACTGGATATCCACAGGCAAGAGAAGCAGGCCTGACTGGAGCTGTATAACTTAACAATCTGGATGTGAATAACACCCCATATTAGTCAAGCATTAACCCCGACACTCCTAGCAAGCGCCTGTTATGCCCGCGCTTCAGTTCGGGTCAAGGAAGAAAAAAAATCCCATAAAAATGCTACGCCCTCCACCGGCCTGACACCGTTCGCTGGGGTGCCGGTCCGGGGACAGAAGCGAGGGAGTGCCGCGCCGCGGGAGAGGAGAAGGAGCCTCGAGCACCGAGGCACAGGGACCGCGGCCCAATGTATTTTCTGCCACAATGGGAGTAACCCCTTCCCCTCGCACAGACGGAGGGTGCGCGTTAGAAATCAGGCGTGCTGCCGGCGAACGCGGTAGGCGGGGGGCGACCCCGACCCGAGAGCCCGCAGGGAAGCCCGTCCCCCAGCAGGGCTCAGCGGCGGCGCGGGTCGCACGGGCTGTAGAGGCCGGGAAGGGGGCCCCGGGACGGCGGGAGGGACGGCCCTTACCTGTCCCTGGGCGCGGGCTGTGGCTGTGGCTGTGGCGCCACCCGGGAAGGGCCGGGGCACGGGTCGGCCGCCGGGAGCCGGCCGGGCGAAAAGCGAGGAGCGGAGGGCGAGGGGCGCGGACGGCGAACTGGGTCCCAGGCTCCAGGCCGGGGAGTCTGGGCTGGACGCGGCGGCTCCCGGCGCCCGAGGCCGGTCAGTCAGTCACGCCGGTGGCCCCGCGGCGCGGCGGCTAAGACAGAGACAGCGGGAACCGGCCCCCGGGAGGAGCCGCAGCCCGAGCGGCTGGCGAAGGAGGCGGAGGAGGGGCGGGGCCACAGGGTCGGTGACCCGCTCACCCGGAAGCAGTTGCGGCCGCGGCGGCGCGCGCTGCGGGACGGGCAGGATCCCGGCCTGGCGGAGGACGGCTGGCTCTTCCGCGGGTAGCGGTGCGCCGCTCCGGGAGCGGTGCTTCCGCCGCGATGCGCGGCCACTGCTAGCTACCGGCGCCGCGCTGGAGGGAGGGTGGCGGGGTGCGACCCCGGTGGGCGGAGGACCGGGAGCCCGGAAGGTGAATTGAGGTGGGCGCCCGCTCGCGGCTGCACCTGCCCTGGTCGCCCCTAAACTGTCCGGCCTAGTGGGCTTGGGTAAGTGGGCCGGGGCGGCGGTTCCGGCTGTAGAGAACGAGTGTGCGAGAGCGAGTGGGTGTAATGGCAACGCGAAAAGCCTTGTTTCCAAAATGAAAACGCGTGATTTTAAAATGATTTCCGGAGAAAAATGCGGCGGAGTTGGGGGGTGGGGTGGATGGAGGGACGTAGAGGCCGTTAAATATCTGCTAGACACGGACGTGTCGTTCATTCCAGAAGTGTCTCTCGAGACTCAGCAGGTTCAAGGCGCTGGAGAAAGGCCAGGGCCCAGCTCTTTGGGAAGCTTACCTTCTAGTGGGGTAGAGGGATTTAAGCAGACAGACAAGGTAACGACAGATTGTGGTGAGGCTGTGCAGGAAATACATAAGAATGATGTGAGAGATTGTGTGGGCGAGACCCCTTTTTCAGGATAGGATGGCTAGAGAACCAACCTCTAGAGGGAGGTGATAGTTGAGCAGCTTCCTGGGGAAAAGGCACGAAATACACTTAGCCACAATTTTATAGACAGGGACTACAGGTTCCAGAACCTGCTTGAGTAAGCCCACGGATTCCATGTGAAGAACCTGTCTCTAACGCCTTCTAAGGGCTGTCTGCGTGCTGTCCACCCTTGCAATTTCACAAGGCTTGCTCACCCTTTCGAGTTGATGGAGCCTGGGAATATGGCTCTCTTAGCGGAGGTTCAAGGCATGAGATAGGGAACGTTGGTCTCCAGACAGAGAGACCAACGTCAATAGGCGCTTCCGGGGGAGAATTACACCATCAGCCTTGAAAGATAAATTCTTTAACCTTTTACCATTTCTTTTTCCATGTCACTTTTTCTCAGACCCATGAGTAAACATTAAAACTATTATTTTTACCTGGGATCAAGAGGAGTTTGGGGCACCTGGGTGGCCCAGTCGGTTAAGTGTTTGCCTTTGGGTCAGGTCATGATCCCAGCTCCTGGGGATCAACCCCCGGTCAGGCTCCCTGCTCAACGGGGAGTCTCCTTCTCCCTCTCCCTCTCCCTCTCCCCCTCCATCCCGTTTGTGCTCTCTCTGTCATTCTGTCTCTCTCAAGTAAATAAATAAAATCTTAAAAAAAAAAAAAAAAATAGAGGCGCTTTAATCTTCCCAAAAGGTTCTACTCTGTTATCATCTGAATAAAAGAATTAATGGCCTATCTTGCTAAATCAGTTAAAGTCAAAATAAAAAGCTGACTTGCAAAAGAGAGGACCTATTCAGGTATTAATGCATTACCTGAATAATACCAATAAATCCAATAATGTTTATTAAATATTAGTTTATATAACTGCATAATTAATAGAACAATTGTTTGGATAATAGTAGGATTAGATTCTCTTGCCCTTTTTATTTACGCTGTAGCCATTTGTTTTGATGCATACCACACTAACAGGGAAAGAAATATTTTGTTGTGTCTTCTGGGAAAACTGGGAAGGACCTCACACTTACTGCTACCTACTGTTTGCACAGCATTGTGCTAGGCAATTAAATATATTATCCCTTTCAGTACTAGGACCAACCTTGAGATATGGGGATTATTATACCCATTTTAGGAGCAAAGACATTGAGATTCAGAGACTGTGACTAGCCTAAGGTAACAAAACTAGTAGCTGGAAGAGTCAGAATTTGAACTCAGGTCTTTCTAGCCCTAATTCCCCTTTTACTTTGCACCGAGTTGCTAAACTCTAATATTTAAGAAGGAAATATAAGTGAAATGTCCAGCCAAGCAGATTTCTATGTTGCTTTAATAAGCTTAAAGTACAGTGAGATGAGGCAATTTGGGAGCTTCTCTGGGTTTTCAATTCTCCCTCTGTAGGATATTTGCCATCTATTTGGCACTGAAAAAGCTACTCATAAAAGTTCATAATGCCGTGTGTCTTTTGAATGCTCCCAGGAATGTGGTAAATTATGACACTAACGTTTTATCATTGCAAGGGGGTCCTGCCTAAATGTGTCCCTCTGAATTCTTTCACAAGCAGTCTTTCCTTGCACATCAAGTGATTTCTTTCTGCCAAAAATATGTGTTCCCAGATTTTTATGGAATATTGTGACATGTGAATGCCCCCAGGTCTGTGTAGGCTGGCTGCTCTAGGGACATTTAATGGATGAAGGAAAATCTTGCAAATGTTTATACAGTTTTGAGGAATGAAGTGGTAGGATTTGTACATTTTTGTTCCTTTCATATCAGATCTTCCACGTTTTTCTTTGATGATGTCAAGAAATACAAGTTTTCCTTTCTCAAGAGCAAACACTCATTTTTGTGGTTTTTGCAAAATTAAGTTGTTTTTTGCAAACAATACTATGTTTCACTCTCTACATGTCTCTGGAAAATATCATTAGTTCAAACATTAAAAATAGGATGACAGTTTTCAGAGCCTAATATTTTTATTAGTAAAGTTTGTGCCTGTCTGTCTGTCTTGGAAACATTTTTTAAAATTTTGGTTAACTCCTTACAAACCTATGGAAATTTGGCAAAGCAAGTCCTCAACTATGTATATTTAAATTCTCTTTCTAAAAATACCTTCTTATCTCCCTTTACTATTTTTCCTCCTGTCTCCTTTTTTTATTAATTTACTTATTTCACTTATTTGGAAATAATTATAGACTCACAAGAAGTTGCAAAGATAATACAGAAAGGTTCTGTGTACCCTTTACCCAGGTTTCCCCGGTAGCATCTTATATACCCATAATACATTATTAAAACTAGAAAATTAACATCTTGCTATCTTCTTTAGGTTTTTAGTTTCTTTTTATGTTTCATTATATCCAAAAATTACCATTTTTATACCATTTTGTAAATTCATCTTTATTGTACTTGATTTGGCTCTTCTCCCTTTCCTAAATTAATAAATGACAAAGTCAGTAAGCTTGCCACAGTGCTCCTGGAATTACAAGTTTACTAAAAACTTCTTTTCAGCACACTTAAAAAGAAGTCATTTGTAAGATTTCTGCTTTTTTTTCTGCTTATACTGTTCCATGTCATTCTGCCCTAATAAACCTGTAAATGTATATACAACCTGTGTATGTGTGTGTTTTAATTTATCCTCTGACCACTGAAATGTTTTCAAAGAGATTGCTGTTAAAATTAAAAGAAAAATAGGGGCACCTGGGTGGCTCATTTGGGTGTCTGACTCAATTTCAGCTCTGGTCATGATTGCAGGATCATGGGATTGAGCCTCACATTAAGCTCAGCACAGAGTCTGCTTAGAATTCTCTCTCTCCCTCTGCCCTCCCCCTCCCCCCGCCAGCTCTCTCTAAATAAAAAAATAAATAGGGGCGCCTGGGTGGCTCAGTCGTTGAGCGTCTGCCTTTGGCTCGGGTCATGATCCCAGAGTCCTGGGATCGAGTCCCACATCGGGCTCCCTGCTCAGCGAGAAGCCTGCTTCTCGCTCTCCCACTCCCCCTGCTTGTGTTCCTGCTCTCGCTATCTCTCTCTCTGTCAAATAAATAAATAAAATCTTTAAAATAAATAAATAAATAAATAAAATCTTCAAAAAAATAAGAAAAATAATGCAAAGCTTTTTATTTGGGGAAAAAATGTTTCTAGGGGCACTTGGGTGGCTCAGTCAGTTAAGCATCTGCCTTCGGCTCAGGTCATGGTCCTGGGGTCATGGGATGGAGACCCGAGCCCCGTGTTAGGCTCTCCACTCAGTGGAGAATCTGCTTCTCCCTCTGCCTCTTACCCTGCTCATTCTCTCTAAATAAATAAGTAAAATCTTTAAAAAAGTTTCGGGGCACCTGGGTGGCTCAGTTAGTTAAGCGTCTGCCTTTGGCTCAGGTCATGATCCTGAAATCCCAGGATTGAGTCCTGTGTTGGGCTCCCTGCTCAGTGGGGATTCTGCTTCTCACTCTCCCTCTGCCCCCCCCCACCTGCTTGTGTTCTGTCTCTTTCTCTCTCTCAAATAAAATCTTTAAAAAATAAAATAAAAATTAAAAAGTTTCTAAACATCTAACTATCCAAGTGAGAATGCCACGGTCTATTGGCTCAGAAGCCAAATCTCACTTAAGGCTAATTCTGGCTCTATGTGGATTTTCCTAGCCAGACAGCTCACTCTTTACTCCACTAGAGAGTAAACAAAGAAAAGAAGTGTAACTTACTTTCTTCAGTCTTAGTGGTGAGGAAAAGTTGATGAGAGAATTTGGGATTTGGTGTAGGTATCAATTATGTATAAATGCCTAATCACAGATAATCAAATGATGGCTCTTCTGCATTATATTTATTGTAAATGAGTAGTCAAACATCTTTCATACTATGGCTCGTTTAGCAAAGGTATTCATCTATTGTGTACCAGGTACCCAGTTAGACACTAGTAACAGGGACACAACAGGATTGATTTTTTTAAAGGAGTATTAAGCTCTTACTATGTGCCAGATACTTCACAGATGATAGGGATCCAGGAGGAAGTAAAAAGAAAGCTGTGTTTTCTTATGAAACTTACCGTCTGATAAGGGAGACAAATTATCACACAAAAGCAACTTTATAATCCAAATAGATATTACTAAGGGTAGGGAGGTGGTGCTTGAGGGCATCGAAATGGAACTCAACCTAATCTGGGGTGTCCAAAATGGCTTCTCGCAAGAGATGCTTTGAGCCAAGACTTAAAACTGCCTCAGGGAGGGGCACCTGGGTGGCTCAGTTGAGCGTCTGACTTTTGACTTCAGCTCAGGTCATGATCTCAGGATCGTAGTATCAAGTCCAGCATCAGGCTCTGTGCTCAGCTTGAAGTCAGCTTGAGATTCTCTCCCTCTGCACAACCCCACCCCACCCCCTGATTGCATACGCTCTCTCTCTAAAATAAATAAAATCTTAAAAAAAAACTGACTCAGAGTGAACTTGATAACAGAAGTATCATAAAGGGAATACATAAAGACTTCATAATGGAACCAGCTGAGTCCCAGGGCCTGAAAAGAAATGAGGGAGATAATTTGAGATTAGTCCAGAGAATTAAGCAAGGATCCATCAGGCAGGGTCTTATAGGTCTGGTAAAGATTCCCATCTTTGTTTCAAAAGTGATACAAACCAATTTAAGAGTTTTTAGTGGAAGTGACATCAGATTTGTGTTTCCAAAAGATCACTCTGGCTTCAACTTGAAGAATTCATTAAATAAGTCCTGAGTGCCCACTATAGGCCAAGTTCCAGTCTGCATGCTGAGTACACAGCACTGAACAAAACAGAAAGATCCCCAGTCTTTGAGGATCTTCTGGACAATATACAATGATAGTACATAAAATCGTGAGAAGCTCTATAAAGAATATTGGAACCCAGGTGAGAATAAAAGGGTAAGGTGGTGGTGCTATTTTATTAGCTTGAACCGTATGAAATTCCTGATATTTTTTACATTTTTTTTAACTCAGAACAATATTAGGTTCATTTGATTCAACGTGGTTGAATGACACCTAATACTTACTCGGAAGACTCAGAGAAGACCTCTGATGAAGTGATCCAAAGAAAGAGTCAAGTCATTCAAATACCTAGGAGAAGAGCATCCCAAGCAAAGGGACAGAAAATGCAAAGACGCTAAAGCAAAAATGTACTTGCCATGTTTGAGTAGCAACAGCAGACCAGTGTGGCTGAAGAGTAATAGACAACAGGGAAGAATGGAATTAGGGACCAGATCATAGTAGATCTTGAAGACTATCATAAGAAACTGCCTTTTCCTTTCTGAATGAGGTAAGCTATCTGAGGGTTTTGGACAGAGGAGCTACACGATCTGTCATCTTAAGCAGGAATGCTCCTCTAATAGAATCTAGGTAGTGGGTATACAGATGGAGCAATGTAAAATTTTTTCACCTTTGCCGTATGTTTGAAAATTTACCTAATAAAATGAGACTGTTTTAGCTGCTGTATTGTGAATAGACTTTAGGGGGGCAATGATGAGATCAAGAAGACCAGTTAGGCTATTGCAATAATTCAGGCAGCAGTGGAGGTAAGAAGTGGTTAGATTCTGAATACATTTTGAAGATAGAGACACTAAGATTTGCTGATGGAATTGATTCAAGATGCAAGAAAAAGAGAAAAGTAGGGGCGCCTGGGGCTCAGTCAAGTGTCCACTTCAGCTCAGGTCGTGATCTCAGGATCCTGGGATCTAGCCCCACATCTACTCCGAGCTCAACGGGCAGTCTGCTTCTCCCTTTCCCTCTGCCCCTCCCCCAGCTCATGCACCCTCTCTCTCTTTTTCTGTCTCAAATAAATAAGTAAAACCTTTAAAAAGGGGAGAGAGAAAAGTAAAAGACAACCCGTAAGGTTTTAGACCTGAACAACTGGAAGGAAGGGCTTGCCATCTACTGAAATTTGGAAAACAGTCTAGGTCAAGCAAGTTTGGAGGAAAAGACTTTTTTTGGACATCTAAGTAAAGATATTAAATAGGCAATTAAATATACAAGTCAGTAATTCAGAGGAAACGTCCAGACAGGAAATACAAATGTGCGAATCTACCTAAAGATTAGGGATATGAGGACCACTGCCTTGAGAATTAAATGGAAGTACTCAGAGTTTAGCCTAAACCCTTTTACCCATACTTTTGTTGTAGGTTGGTTTTGTTTCCAGGTATCATTTTATATTGCCAAGCAGAATATTTATATGCATACTGTTTGCAATTCATTTGTGTTCTAAAGGGTTTCATTTTTAATGTTGTTCATGTCTTTCCAAGTAGATTATACATTTCTTGAGAAAAGACCTATTTTATTTTATACACTCTACAATGCCATATCCCTAGAACATTTTATGATGCTTATATAATAAACTATTCCAATACAGTTTTTTCATTTCTTTTGTTGTCATAAAGTATCAATTTTCTTATAAATAATTTAGACACTTCTAGCCGTCCTGTGAAAATAAGGATAGAATGAGAACTTTCAACCTACTGCCACTCATGCCCATTTCAGATCAGATCAGAGAGAGCCTTCTGAAAAACAAAAAGCAACAATAAAAAGTCTCAGCTCTCCTCCATATTGCCTTTATATTCAGGTTTCATGTGGTAGCAAGACGGTTCCCAAAAATTTCAAGTCTGCATCCATCCTGGTCCAAGTCCAGCAAGAAAGAGATCCTTCCCAGAAGTCCCTGGATTCACTAATTAAACCAACACAGATTATCTGCCTGTCCCTTAACAAATTACTGTAGTTAGGAAAATTCTATGCTGTGATTGGCCAAACGTGAGTCACATGTTTCACTGCTGTTTGGTCCAAAGAACATGGACTATAGGAAAGGAGTGGTTCCCTAGAAGAAAAAATGGGGTGCTGTCACCAAAATAAAGAAATGGATACTGGTGGTCAGAAAATAATACATACTATATCAAATAACAAAGGCCTAAAGCATTCTTCCTTAAGCTCTTTTTTTTTTTTAATTTTATTTATTTATTTGAGAGAGAGTGTGTGAGAGAAGGAGCAGGGGGAGGGGCAGAAGCAGACTCCTCACTGGACATGAAGCCTGACATGGGGATCATGACCTGAGCCAAAGGCAGACACCTAACTAACTGAGCCACCCAGACAACCCCTTCCTTAAGCTTTTAAAAGAAGTAATACCATGGGGGTGCCTGGTTGGCTCAATAGGAAGAGCATGTGACTTGATCTCAGTGGCCTGAGTTCAAACCCCACCTTGGACGTAGAAATTAAAAAAAAAAAAAAAAGTAAAGAAAGAAGAAATACCACAGCACTCATTTTACATCTCTCCCAATTCTATACACAATACTGCACTATTTCCCCTGTATCATTAGGCTGTCATATATTCACTTGTCATTGATGAGTGAATGTCACAAAAAGTAAATAAATGCATGAATATAAAAGTTAACCAGCTGGAAGGGTCAGTTTTTCAGCACATCACTTTCCAGGATACTCCCACCTAAGTACTGCAGGTAGTTTCTTGTCCTACAATTCTTTCCTATTGTCAGTGTGCCTGAAAAATATTTACTAGCCCTCAGTACCCTGGGGGCAGGGTGGGTGCTAGCTAAGATACCTGAGAAACCACTGCAGAAGCAAGTGACAATGAATCGGCTTAAGTTTATCTTGAAGCCTATTTACACAGTGTAGAAATTTTGCTTGAAAGCAAAATATATAGACAGATTAGTTTTCCGATTTCTTTTTGGTATCACCATTTCCATTCCTTTCTACACTAATAGGTTACTTTCCCCACAAGATGTTTAACCTGACCTGCATGGCATTTTTATCCTTTTAGTTCAAATTTTGCTGCAGAAAATGGGTAACATGGGTATAAAGAGAATGTTGGCTCTCTCTATTACTCTGGAATTTGGGATGGCTTCTCTAGTTTGCTACTTCCCTGGACACCAAACATAGCATTCTCTGTTCTAGGACCTGCTTCAAGTTGGTCATAAGACTGGCAGAAAATCAAACCGAACTAAATGAATAGTTGTTGAAGTTAATCTCACATCCTGGAGCTGTATGTGCCATGGAATCACCTGCTGTTATTAACAAGCACAATTCTGATCAGAATCACTGCTCTGTGGTCCTGTTCATCAGAATCTCATGTTTGGAAATTGGATTTGGGTCTGGTTACTTTAAAAATAGACATGATCGGGCGCCTGGGTGGCTCAGTTGGTTAAGCGACTGCCTTCAGCTCAGGTCGTGATCCTGGAGTCCCTGGATGGAGTCCCACATCGGGCTCCCTGCTCGGCAGGGAGCCTGCCTCTGCCTCTGACCCTCCCCCCTTTCATGTGCTCTCTCTCTCTCATTCTCTCTGTCTCAAATAAATAAATTTAAAAAATCTTAAAAAAAAAATAGACATGATCATGGAATATAGCCATTAAAATTTCTATCGTAGGAAAAGGTAACATAGGATAGTATTAGCCATGTATTTAATGTAGTAGACTACTAAACAATATGTTCAAGATGATTCCTGTATTGTTTAATATTATACAGACATAGACACCCAAATGTTAACCATAAGGAATGGAACTACCAGTGATTTCATTTGATTTGTTTACTGTTCAGGATATTTCTAGATAAAATGTACTCCATTCAAAGTAATTACTCAAAGTAATTTTTAAATAAATTAAAAAATAAATAAAATATATGTATCATACCATACCCCAGAGTCAAAATATGCAAAAGGTACAACTAAAAAATAGATCTAATTATTACTCTCGCTGTTCAAAACCATTGTAGATTTTTCTCTTGCCTTGCATACATCATTTTTTTCTTCCATTTTAAAAAATCATGTACTGGATGCTAGGAGTAAACGAACAATACAGGTGTGGCTTCTGCCCTCTCAGAACTAATTGTCTGGTGGCGATATAACAAGCAAGCTGACAAACAATCCAGCCTGTCACAGTCGATAATAGAGTTTCGTGCATACTCTGCTAAAACACCTAACCCTCCTTTTGCACATCAAATTCCGGCTTTGGTATGTCAGCGGACAAGCACGTTCAACTCACACACAGGCACTCACTATTTGTCAATGCTTCCATTTGAGCTTCGTCCCCATTGTCCACACACTCATGCTCAATTACCAGAGTACTGGCCAATTATTTGGGTGTTAACTTGCTCTTATTTTATAAAAATGAAATTGCAAATACTAGTTATAGGAAATGTAGGTCTTATAAATGTAATTTGAATGAAATAAAGATGGAAATCATTAGGCGTGCCAGAAACTGAATCTCTAGCCTCAGATAACTCAGACATTCATGATATGACGTCGAATAAACTGAGTGAAAGTAAAGAAGAAAATCAGAGAACAAGTATAAGATCCTGGAAATATTCATTGTTAAGTGTTGGGACTAAAAGTTTAGGAATGTTTGGAGATTTTGATCTTAATTTTTAGTTCCATAAGGAAGGATTCCTCCTAAAACAATAAATGTACTATTTGATTTTTAGATCCATGGTCAGCTATGCTTTATATTTGAAGGTTGCCTGGTTCACCATTGCCTACAGGATAGATTTTATTTATTTATTTATTTATTTTTAAAGATTTTATTTATTTATTTATTTATTTATTTATTTATTTATTTATTTATTTATTTATTTGAGAGAGAGAGCACAGGAGTGGAGGGAGGGACAGAGGAAGAAGCAGGCTCCCTGCTCAGCGGGGAGCCCAATGAGGGACTTGATCCCAGGACCCCGTGACCATGACCTGAGCTGAAGGCAACCGCTTAACCGACTGAGCCATCCAGGCGCCCCTACAGAATATATTTTAAATCATTTATCACATCAATGATGTTAAAATCCACAAGTTTATGATGACATTAGGAAAAGAAAATATACAAGTCACCTGGAAGTTGCCATAGTAAGTTGCTAAGTTATATGGTAATGGCAGTTGGTAAATAAAGGAGAAGAATCAGTCTGCTTCTCCTGTACAAATTGTATTTTAGGGTGACCAGAGTTGTTAAGAAAAAGCCTCTTTGTATAAAATATTTCCAACTGAGGGGCACCTGGGTGGCTCAGTCAGTTAAGTGCCCAACTCTTGATTTTGATTCAGGTGGTGATCTCAGGGTCCTGAGATCAAGCCCCCTGTCGGGCTCTGTGCTCAGCACGGAGTCTGCTTGAGTTTCTCTCTCTCCTCTCCCCACCTCCATGCATGTGGACACACGCTTTCTCTCTCAAAATAAATAAATCTTAAAATATATATATATTTCCAGCTGATAAATATAAAAGAAATGACAAAAGATAATTTTGTAATCTCCTAATAAAATAGACTTAAATACCAATCACCAATGGCTGCTA